TTTGACAACACCACATACTTGTCTAAAATGCCTTATACTATGTTTTGATACTTTTATTACACAATAGCTTGTATCTCACGTGAATATACGTGTGACCTGTACCTTCTAATCACACTTTAAGAGGGGTTTTAGGCAGTATATTTACCATAGACAGCGGGGGAGTGTTATCTAAAGCTAGCTCGTGTTAACCGGATTTAAAGAGACAGCTTGGAATTTGGGCGAAAAGTAATAACCGATATGCATTTTGGACAAATTATAGGTTCAACGAACACTTTATCGGCTTCATAAAACACACGCACACTTTTATTAATTAAACGTTTGGATTATTTTTCCTAACGTGACTTTTCATATAAAAAAATACCAAACTGAAAACAAAAAGGACAAAATGAACGTGATATCGTATGCACATGTACATGTATAAGCCACAACTTCAATTGTTTATATCGGTGTGCCAATTCATCTTATGTGAGGCAAATTGAAGATACAAAAAAGTTATCAATTTCACAATTTGACAAAATAAAATCATTCATTTCTTTTTCTTTTGTCAGTTTCATGTTCACACTCTCCGTGGGTTGAGTTTCCTAGAGGCAGTCCTCGCACGCTGTATTGGCTATCCTGTTCAAGACAAACATGGGCAGTGGCTCAGAAAACCTGCAAGGATTTAGGGGGAACCCTCGCCGTGGTTGACAGTAGGGACGAGAATAAATTTTTGTCCGATTTGATAAAGAACGTGGGGGAAGCGTGGGTCGGCTTCACTGTCAGAAGATCGTCATTTTCCTGTAAACCAAGGTAACTACAAAAAATTAAGCTGTTTACCAAATTATGTTGAATTAAAGATATTTACAGGCATATATGTATCCTTCACTAAAATGTGAAAAGTTAATACATCTAACAGCGAATATCAACCACAGACATAGGGTATTAATACAATGTATCAAGGTAGAGTATATACATTTGTCCTCTTGTTTAGCTACTGCTTAGTGAAAGAAAGATTGTTGTGCTATATCATATCACTTTTTTTATATCCTATCACATTATTGTTGCAGTCAAAATAAAGAGAAAAAAGGTATGTTTATATTATGACGGATCCCTGGGAGACACAGTGTGGCACATGCCCTATCCATATATCTCCTCTGATACCTCAAATATAAATTTAAGCTTTCTCCCCCAACAATAATTAATTATTAATAAAATAGTAAATAAAAGCACGACAAGTGAAAATGGTCAATTTTATACATGCTCCCCCCAACGCCAGCAGCAATATCCCGGATACTGAATTACGAACAGAGACTACGGGGGGGGGGGGGGGGGGGGGGGGGGGGGGGTCATT